TAATTCCATATGCATTTCTTGGAATGGCAGCTGGAGTAGGCAAGTCAGGCTGTAATTAATTTCTCCAGCATAATCATTATATAGCTCCTGGACCATAAACTGTCTCTTTTAAATGTCCTTGGGTCTGAGGCTGACCTGTCTTCCCCAAGGAAGAAGCAAGGCAATAAAACAAATTCCAGAAAACACCTTTCCAGGGACTAGTCAGAGTGACCATGACAACAGGAATGTCACACCAGCTTCTGCTGAGCCCTCTCTGAGCTTTGTCTTAACTCAAATGTGAAAGTTCTTAATTTGGGCCTATTTCCTGAGGCCTGGCCCAACGATTATCTCTCCTACACTGAACAGATTCCAGAGGAGTGATTCTTCTGTCTGTCTATGTCTCTATTTTTTTTTGGGAGTCTTTCCTAAAATGACCTATGTCCCCATACCCAGAACATTCCTTAACACCTCAGCACTGTGAAAGCATGGCTTAGACTGTAGTTATCATTCTCATAAGCCAATTGTATAACCAAGACTCCTGCCTGAGGGTCTCTAAAAATCCTACCTGTCCTTTTAGCGGCCTATCAAGGCCTTATTTGATCCCAGATAAAACTTTACACTGAAATCTCCTTTTCAATCTTGGGGGAAGAAAAGAAAATCAGTTTCTTTACCAAGAAAGCCAAAAAGTTCTTAGCCTCTCTAAGAGCAGCTTGTGTAAAGAATCATTTTTGCCAGGGCTCCTCCTGCTGTGTCTCACTTTCATCCACAGAGCAGGGGAACTTGCCTATAAGTTTTAACCCTTTTTATCTTTCTTTCTATACATGAAACATAGAACAGACATTTATTCTAATAAAACAAAGACAGACAACGACACACGTGGACAAATTTGGCGCCAAGGACTCACAATAGACATAGAAAGCATAACCAAGAATCTCTCCTGTAGGGGCCAGAGAGTTCTCTTTCTTTTGCTAACACACCGCGGAGATCAGACAATTGTTTTAGCTGTTTTTCTGCCAATGGCCATGTTAACTCATGTTAACTCTTGTTAACTCAGGATATTTAACACAGTAGATTCAGTCCAAAATAACGTCAGTCACAGTCCAAAAACACGCAAACAGTTCATCAAGAAAACAGAGAAAAACACAGTCAGTTCACCCCCATCACGGGCGGTGGATATACCACATACAGACAGTTCTCGCTCCTGTCACAGGTGCAGAGACAGGTTACACAATCAAGGCATGAAAGACTGCTGGTGAGAGAACCTAATAACCAGATGACATGGCCAGCCCATGCTGGACCTAATAACAGATTTCTTACATCACCAGCAATGAACAACACAGAATTAGACCCAGACACACACAGCCACGAGAGCTTCAACAGACGCCGTCCCAGGCGGCGGTGGCCATAGACCACCTTCAGACAGAGAAGGGGTCATTTCTGACCCTATCTCTCATACTCCAGAGTGTACTGCCGGTGAGAGAACCTCTTACACCACCAGCAATGAACAACACAGAATTAGACACAGACACACAGCCACGAGAGCTTCACCAGACACCGCCCCAGGTGGCAGTGGCCAAAGACCACCTTCAGACAGAGAAGGGGTCATTTCTGACCCTATCTCTCATACAAACGTACTCCAGAGTGTCTTCTAGAGAACTGTGGCCTGCAGTGTGCCAACACATCTGTCCCACTGCTTCCACTTCCCATGAATTCCCTCCAGGAATTCGTAACCTGACCCTCTCCCAGGGTCTCAAACTGCCCTCAGTGGCTTGCCTGGTTTCTGCTCCTGCCACGAGCACAGAAACCAGACTACATAGACGGTCACCCCTGTCATGGGCGCACAGAAACTTCACAAACACAGTACACTGCCCCACGCCATGAGCACAGACACCTCACAAGCACAAGCACAAGCACACAGTCCATTGTCTCTATCACATCACGAGTAACACAAAACACAGACAAAACAACTACACTAACTGTCTCAACCAAGAAGGCCAAAACCAATACAGAAAAACAGATGGCCAGGAGGTCTCTCACACCTCCTCCAGCAGGCCAGGAGGTCTCTCACACCTCCTCCAGCAAGCCACCGTGTCCTCTCTGGCCTCCAGACGGGCACCCACCAGGCGTCCCTGGGGTCCCTCCTCACCTGGGACGTCTCCCAGGTTGTGGCAGTGGTAACCCTCCTAGCACGTCTGCTGGTCACCCATTCGCCTCCTGCCGAGACAAAAGGTTTGCTGTCTCTTACGAGACAGAAACAGCTGCCAAGCCAAACCATAGAAGTGCACTTTCCAGAATTCCAAACGAGACGGATCGACACACAAAACACACAAACAAAACTGCGGTGCCCTTACCTCCCAGTGGGGGTCTCAGAGATCAGGGTGGTCGCAAATCCTGGACGAGCCCCCAATGAAGACCTCCGCAGAGGGGAGACCATCTCTCAAGTCTCAGAAAGTCGCGACCACCCAGTAATCTACTCGAGACACCATATACCGGAGCAATTGCGAGGTTATTTATTAGGGCGTGACAGCTAGCTGCCGGTCAATTCGCATGCCCACGCAGGAGCTGAATTGACCCCGACTGCCAGTTTGAGGGGTGTTTTTAAAGGGAAAAACCACAAACCAAGGAAATGAGGAGGGGGTGAGGGGGTTGCTAGGGTGGTATAACATAAAAATAGTGGAACATTCCAAAGGAACCCAACCTACATGAGTCAGGATCAGATGAAAACTCTCTGTACGCTTATCTTTCTCAAGAATGTAGTCCTGTCCTGTCACTTCGGCCTTGCCCTGTCACTTTGGCCTTGCCCTGTCACTATGGTTCTCAGCTTGGTTCCACCTGACTAAATTGCATTCTTTCCTTTCTCTTTGCAGGTCGGCCAGTTCCAGTAATGGTGACTGGTCTTTCCACATTCCTAAAGAAAGCCTAAAGAATATTTTATATCTAAAAAGGATTCTATATACCCAGTATCCATAACTTTTCCCTCTACACTAGAGAACAAGAAGCCTGCATGTAGAAGTCAGCCACTTATAAAAAAGAAAAAAGAAAAAAAATGTTGATCCCAGACAAAGGTATGCAGGCCTATTCCTAGGGGAATTCTAGCTAGAATTAGATAATCTAAAGCTTCATTGGTGGGTACCATGGTGTTACATGGATTGGTTTTTGATCGACTTGTGTCCAGGTGGTCAATGGAGTGATTGCATTCTTGTGTGTCATGAATGTTTGGCCACAGAATAAGATACCCAAACCACAGAAGGCTGTACCACTGCTACAGACTACTGTTTCCATCCAGGGAGCTTGATGGGATCTATTTTCTATGTCAGTTAAAGAACTAAATGGCAGGAAACATTTTAAGCTTGACAAGTAGAAAAAGGAAAAATCTCAAGCATTACAGTCAGATGCAGCATTTGAAGAGAGGCTTTTATTGAGGGCAAGAAAAACAGGTTTGGAACAGACACAGAGGAAAGAAAAGACCCTCTAAAACTAGGAGGGGAAGGGGATGCTCAAGCTCAAGAGCTGGGTTTTGTTGTTTGTTTTACTCTGAAGAGTCTTACTCCCCTAATTTTAGGGTTTATCCGTTTGAAGAAAGACAGAATAGTTGATTGGTCCACAACTGATGTATAAACGTGGTCAGATCTGACCTGGTGAACTTGATGATTGAATCTATTAGCAGGGGTGGGAGTATAGGGGAAACCCTCCTTGAGGCCCTTGTTTTAGGCTGGTTTTCACCTCTGATCAAGGGTGAGGAAGAAACAGTTCATTATGTAGTCATGGCTTGCCCTGCTCGCGCTTTGTCTGCCTATCAGGAACTCTAACTACTAGTCCCTCTCTAGAATATTTTTCTGTTGAGAAATTAAAAAAAAATCTGTAATCCTTTTGTGGGGAGCAGTGAAGGGAGACAGAAGAAACAGCCCAGCTTTGTGTGAAAGAAAAATGAGTTCAGGAAGTAAGGTCTCTAATGATTAACAATTATATTTAAAGTTTAGACTTAACTATGGTCGAGAGATCATAAAAAACATTGTAAAGGGAGAGTCCAGAGTGCACCACACAGCCAGACTGAGCTGGGAGGGGATGGGGAGAGGAAGGCAGTAGAAGAGAGAAAAGAGAGGGTCTGCCAACTAAGAAGGGGATACCCTGGAACAAGAGACTAGCCAAGGAGGTAAAGGATAGACCAAAAAACAAAACAACAATAACAACAACAACAAAACAAACAAGCAAAAAAAAAAAACAACCAAAAAACAACAACCACAAACCAAACAAAAAACAAACCAAACCAAAATAAATAAAAAAAAAAACAAAAACAAAAAACAAAAGCAAAGCCATTCGGGTAACCTACATTACTGGATTGAATAGGGAAGAACAGCCCAGTCCGTAGGCTGGAGAATTTAGGGCACCAGACCAGACATGGCAGCCACACTCTGTGACTAGTAGGGAGTGAGTGATACAGGGAGAACCTGGCAGCCAGCATTCACTTTCATATGTTAATGGAACTCAGGTCTTTGTCCAGGGTTTGAGACCCAACAATGAGACTATTTCCAGCTTTTGTAATCAAGCTCGCATACTCTGCTCAATGACTAGGACATCTGCAAGACATATATGTTAAAATTAGACTCTGCCTCCAGGTAGACAAAATACACACAATCTTGTGGGTTGGGCTTAATATGACTAGATGCTGCGTCTGGGGAGCCCTCTCGGTTGTGGTGTCATGAGTATCTGGTGGCAGTATTTAATAAAGCCTCTTACTAAAACGTACCTGTGGTCGTGGTGAATCTCTGAGTGACCCCAGACCCATAACAGTCATGGGGAGATTCCATCTCAGAGAAGCTTATTCAGCCGAATGTGAACAGCTGTCCCATGATTATGACAAAATTACCATAAAAAATAATATCGGTGGTCATGCCGGCTCCTGTTGGTACTCTGTATGAGAAGCTAGGCATTTGAGGTTTATCGAGATATATACTCTGACTCTTCCAACCTTAAACAAAACAAAACGAACAGCAAATCTAAAGAAAAAAGAGAAGGAAGGAAAAGCCTTCCCGAGTCTCCTTTGGAATCAGTGCCAGCATCTGAAGAATGCAGCGGAAGTGGAAGTAGAGGAAATGCCAGTAAGTGTTCCCTTGGCGTTCCAGAACTGCGCACAGACCAGATCATTTTTACCGAGAGCCTCTGCCAGGAGCAGGTAACATTCTAAAGGGACTTAGAACTAAGTTAGGCAGGGTTCAATTTGGTTGCAGGGGCATACCTTTCCGGTTAGAAAAAGCCACAAAACTCAGGAAAGGAAACCGAAACCCTTAGCAACTGCCTCAAAGTCAAGGTGCTTTTTCCCTGACTTTAGTGCAGTCTAGCACCTGTGCCTCTCTTAGAGGAGTCTGGAGAGCTGAGTCGCCGCTGGTGCCAGGATTCTAGGAATTCAGCTCAAATTCAGCTCACTTGAAGCTGCATAAGAAAGGTAAGCCAGCTGCCCTAGTCCCTCTCAAGAGGATCTGTGGCCATCGCCGGACCCAGAACATTGACAAACCCTGGGAAGAGGAATCTGAGGGTGGGTAGAGATTTGAGCTGGAAGTTGGGAAAGGTGACAAAGACGCCTGGGAAGGGCAGGTGGGCACAGGGGAAAGAGATGAACCTCTGCTGGGAGAGGTAAAATGTAATTCAGTCAGCTTTGTCTGTAGGCAATTAGGAGTTCCGGGTTATTTTCATGCATCTTTTAACAAGGATCCAGTTATTCCGTTCATTCTATGTTTTGCCTTTAGATGTGTTCTCTGTCATTCCATTTCAGGTCTTTTGGTTGTAAACAGGTTTCCCTGTTTTATTAGGGGAAGGGTCTTAACTCAATGGAGGTGAGAGGCACCTACTGTCTACTTTTGTAAAACAAACAAAACAAAAACACCTTCAACTTTAGAGACAAAGAGGTCAAAAGTACCCCCTTAACTCCCCCCACTCCCCATGCCTGAGTAATCAGACCTTGGCAGCTGGAGCCAGTACTTGGGAGGTCTCAAACAAATGTTAAAGATTAACTTCTCACAGCCCAGATAGCTCACCTCCAAGGGTCACTCTCAAAAAGGACAGTTATTGCTATAAATCATATTATTTAGCAAGAAAGTGAAGTGCCCACATATCTGTCCACAAAGCATGAGAGTTAAGGCCAGTAATTGTTCTTATCAGTTTTAAACACACATTCCCTTTTAAGAGGTCATGTGAGAGTCTGCCTGCCTCTTTCTTGCAGCATATTTTTATTAACCTTTTACAAATATCATTTCTGGTCTAGTGACTGCTTTACCTTATGCCTCTGCTTGCTATTCCCCTGACCAGAGTCTATACTATTTGTACAAGGCATTTTCAGCCAGGCTGCCTGAGTGTGGCCCTCTCTCTTCTCCTTTCTGTCTACTGACCCTGAGCCAGTTTCTTCATGTGGGCTGCTTCAGTTCCACTTACAAATTGTGGAACAAATTCTAATGATAAACACAAGTTTATGTCTAATACAAGACTTAAAGGGTTAAATTGACTTTACATCAATTAGTATAAGTTGTTAGAGTAGATGCTGCTACCATAAAAAGGACTGAGTGACAGTTGAGTTTTATTGTATCAGATATTTAAATACTTAAGAAATGTCTGTGTAAATATATGTGTGCATGCCCATTCTCTATAATTTATAATTAATACCGCTCAGTTTGAACACCCGGATGTTAATTAATTAAAACCATCATTTTTTACTATTTATCTATTAATTTGTATTTAATTATTTAATGTTTATTTATTACTCTGAATTTTGTTTTATTAAATGCTTAAACTGTTTCTTACCTTAGGAGAAATGACTTGGCCAGGAAAGTAGGTTGAAATGAAAGACTTTTCTGTCCTTCATAAGAAAGACATAATGGAAGTTGATGAGAAATTTCTCTAAAACTTGATAGGTTTGGTTTGTTTTGCTTTTGTTTGTTTTTCTTTTATGGTGAACTGAGGAAATAAGCACAAAGGATATTAATCATCTTAATTCATGTGATTAGAGAGCTACATGTTGCTAAATATTTACTTTTACCTCATGGGTTTAGTTTCAGTTATGCTGAGGAAACAAGACAATACAGAACAGTGAGGGAGCATCAGCTTGTCCAGAAAGGGTTTGCTGGGACAATGAAGCGACCAAGTAAAACGGACTAAGTTGGTTCTTCTTTCTCTTGACTCTTTCGATGACTTGACCTTTCATGGTGTGTGTGTGTGTGTGTGTGTGTGTGTGTGTAATTTAACAGGCCTGTTTGTCCTAGCTTCTATATAATCTACATTCAAAGTTTATGAATAAAATTCTCTAAGATTCTCTCCCTAATTGTTTCTAAGCATGTTTGGTTTATGTTCCTCCTGAAGCCATTTCCTTTAGCCAGATTTCTCCATGCCAGCACTTCTGTCTTGCACTGTGTCCCCAAGAGCTCACTGGCATCTTCTTTTCCAGCTCACATTCGTCAAAACACAACTATTCTGGCTCCAGAGAACCAGTGCCCAAACCCCAGTTCCACAGCTGAAGTGTGTGTCCTTTTTAAATGTTACCCTTTCAAATGCATAAAATGTGTGTACAAACATGTCCAGAAATACATGAAAATTATTTGGTTTGCGACTTATTTTCATTAATTTTGGGTAACTCTCTGACCTACACTTCATGACTCTTTCCCTCAGAGTACTGTCTTAGTTTCACTAATTGGTAAGACGTTAGGGACTTAGAATTCTGGTGATAATCTCTAAAACATGTAAACTGGTTTTTCTTGTGTATTGAATAGACTTATGATGAGAACTTTGTTCTTAAACACTTACTAGTAATTTCTCATTAAGTAGCCCAGACCTATTATTTTTTTACTTATTTGATTGGCATAGTAGTTTTATGATACTCCAAAAATACTTTTTGAAAGCTATAAGAGAATCTTCTGAATTATGAGGCATGGGTTAAAAAGTTTTTACTATAGCATAAATTATGGATAATTCCCACAGCATTCTCCTTCTCCTTGCTCAGAGAAGGTAGTAATTATCAAGTAGCTCAGCACATGAGTGTGACCTTATCTGATAGAATGAAGCACTGGCTTCCCCCAAACATTTATCATAGTTTGGAAAATGTGTGTGATCATCAGATCGCACCTAAAATTATGTTCTCGTGTGATGGCGATTCACATGGCACAGAACATAGGATAATGCTACCAGAAAATTTAGGAATACATCATAAAGAATTCTTCTCCACCTAAAGTCTTTTTGTAATTTTTCCATAAGAGTTATTTCACAATTGTGACATGTAAGTTATTAACCAATTAATTAGGCTAGAATATGTCCAGCTGTTTTCAAAACTGAGTGACATGCCTGAGAATAGATCCATTAGGATTGAGAAAGCCAAAGATCATTATAATGGCACACAAGAAATAATATAATAGCACACAAAGAAAGCATTGATTGAGTAGTTGGCTTTGTTCGACAGTCACTGAGTTGCTTATTTTAATTGGCACATGTACAGGTACACTTACAGAAGCACCTAACCCTTTGAACCATAGCTCACAGTGTACCACTTTTAATGGTTGTGATGTATTCCTGCTGCATTTGATGTCTTTAATACAGTGAAGACACTTGGGGCTCTTTTCTGCAGCCCTTTGGCAATAGGTGTTCCTCGTCACTCTCTAAGACTCACAGTAAAGTGACTATAGGAAGAAGAGAACAGTAATGTGCTGAAATGAACACATTTTAGAATCTGTTCTGTGCAGAGTAGGTGGTTCCCACTTGGAAATGTAAACCTGGTTTATTCCCATCTGATGCATATAAGGCAGAGACCACCAACAGCTTAAGATCCACCGGATGCACAGCATTTGTTTACAAATTTTCATCTTTCCAGCATGCTCTCAGGTTCTAATTTGCATTAGACTTCTCAGTTTAACATAGCTAAACCAAAAGATGAAATTTTCTTAAAACTAGATGGGAAATATTACTGTTCATATGTATGGATCTGTAATCCTACAAAAGTTATAATCCTAATTCCACCGTTAACTGAGTTGATAATTAAAGATAAAGAGTTTAAATATTTTTAGTATAAAATAAGGAAAACTTGCCTACACTTCTTCTTATGGAAGTCACTGATGACTTACCATTAGTTATACTTTTCTGACAAAGAGGCAAGGTGAAAATAACAGTAATCTTAAAAATTGCTGTTAGCATTTGTTGGAAGTCTGCAGAACCTTTATTAGCCAAGCTTTATCAATAAAGAAAGGTGTCTTAGAAGAAAATTGGAGAAGATTAAAACTTTACACACAGGTTAAATATGTCACCTCAGTCAATGTTTTCTTTGTGTGCTATTATTTCATAAGGGGCCCCATCCATTTCTACCTTTGATTCACTGGACTCTTCACCCAAAGCCTTTTAGAAAATCGCTAACCATCATGGGCAAGCCATCAATTTCAGGTCTTTCTGAAAACTACCTATGGCATGAGAGTCAAACCCAGAGGCGTAACTGGATAGATGAAGCTATATCAGATAACGGAAAAACACTAGCCCAAGACTCTGTGCAGCTCCAGGGCATCTGGTTTGAGCCAATCAGTGAGTGTGTGATATGTTCACTGAAGGTCCTCTTTTCTAAGACTAAATCATGGACCAACACTGTAAGTGCTTTCACTTGTCTCCCTGTTAATTCTGTTTACCCATTTTCTGCTAAAATGTATTTTGTTTTGTTTTCTTTTTTTTTTTTTAGTTTTGATTTTAGTTTTGGTTTTGGCTTTGGTTTTAGTTTAGGTTTTAGTTTTGGTTTTGATTTTTGTTTTTTGACTAGAATTTCTCTGTGTAGCCTGTCCTGGAATTCACTCTGTAGACCAGGCTAGCATCTAATTCTAAAATCTCCTTGCCTCTGCCTCTGAAATGCTGGGATTAAGCCATGTGCTATTACCACCTGGGGCTTGTTTTTTTTTTTTTGTTTTGTTTTGTTTTTTGTTTTGTTTTTTAATACTGCAGAATCCAATGCCTATTTCAAGATTTCAACAACAGAGAAGATGTATGCAAAAGCATCTAAAGCCATGAATTTTCCCCTTATCGCCTTTGGGAAAGCTAAATAATAGGCTTGTTGATAAACATGTTGTATATGGAGGATGTATTTCAGATGAACTGTTTTCTGCTACTGTGCACATTTTATATACACAAAGCTTACTATGGTCACACAAATTAAAAAATTATAACTGTAATCTATTGGTCCATTATAACAAGCCCTCAGACACATGCCTTTGTGTATTTCCATAACACTGACGTAAGTGAGCACCAATCATAATGCTTTGTGCTTTTGCTCTCAATACATTTTTAAGTAAAATGTGTATCTATCAAGTGCTTAACAAAAGATTTTGCCAGGTTAGAGTTTTAAGGTTCTCATCAAAGAGAAAAAAATGCTTTTCTTAAATGATCTTGCCCTTCCTCCCCTTGGTCAATGTAGAAATAGTAATAAAACGATGTGTCTCTCATCAAGGCAGCATTGTAGAGCATATTAGATCATCTCCAGAACCATAGCCCTTGTATTTTCCCCAAGTTGATCTTTATTAATGATGTCAGCATTGACTTACTTTCACTAATGGCTTGAAAATGCCAATTTATGTAGACTTAAGTTACTTTATACTTTATAAGCTTCGGGATGGTTCATTTCAGTTTAGAGAGATCTATTTGACTATGGGCCTATTTAATTCTTTAGTTTTACAGACATATAGTTGTGTGTGTGTGTGTGTATGTGTGTGTGTGTGTGTATGTGTGTGTGTGTGTGTGTGTGTATGTGCTTATATGGGCTCCTGACATAGTGAGTACACCTGGTCCTTGTCATATGTATGCAGTTTATGTTATTCAAAAAGTGAGGATTGTAATATGGCACTTGTATCAGAGCTGCAGTATGTTTCCTTTTTAGATTTGATCTGACACCCAGGGTGAATGGCCGGGGCTGCAGGCAGGGTGGTAACAGATAGAGGAACTAAATAACCATTGAAACCACTCATCGGCAGCAAAGAAACCGGAGAGTGGTTTTAATGGAATGAGGCAGTGTTATTTCAGAGGTCTTCGATGCCTGATGACTTAGAGTAGGGTACAGGAATTTGGGCAAGAGATTCTCTGTTTTCTGGATTTATGGTTGCCATGAGCTCTATACTGCTGAGTTGTTATGAAACAATCGAATAAGGAGAATGCCTTCAGTCTAACCTTTCTTATAAACATACATAAATAAATGAGTTGAGCGATCTTTGAAAGTCCATAAAAGCATTACATGCTGAAAATAATCAGTTAAAAAGCCAGAATCTTTCCTCTTTTTTTTGTAGCTGATTTGTCTTTATTATTGTTTGGCTGCAAGTATGTTGGTGTGAGGGTGTATGATCATCTAAAACTGGATTTACAGACAGTCGTGAGCTGCTATGTGGGTGCTGGGAATTGAACTGGGGACCTCTGGAAGAGCAGTTAGTATTCTTAACTGCTGAGTCATCTCTCCAGCCCCTGTTTTCTTCTATGTTAAGGCCATGCTTCTATAATTAAGTATACTGTCTAATATATCATCATTTTTATAACGGCAGAGCCATTGTCGCCCAGAGTATAGACAACCAAGAGTAGCACAGAAAGATGCTCACTTTATAATTACTGACTACTGTAGATGGGTCAGTAACTCCCTAGAGAGACATGACTATGAAGAAGCAAGAGTTGAAACATTTGTGCATATATCAAGATGAGTCAAGCCATAATATATAGAAGATAACATTCAGATTATGACTGAAGAATATAGTTTTTAGAAATCAGTTAGTTGCAATTTAGAAACTTTGTACAATTCAGTGTCAGGAGGGCAGGTCCAGAGAAAGCATAAAAGTGGCATTTTTTAATTTATGTGCAGATATATCTCTGTGACTGTATGGGTATTTACACATGTGCTCAGGTACCTCAAGAGGCCAACTGTCAGATCCACTGGAGCTGAAGTTACAGATGGATGTGAACAGCACAATGTGAATATTGCTAGCAAAACTCCAGCCCCACAAAAAGCAGCAAGTGCTGTTAACAGTTGAAGCATCAAGACCCTAAAATTAGTTCTCAAGGCAATGATTACAGATGCTTAATTCATAGTTTAATAAACCATTGACTACAAGTGGTACTCTCCTGGGAGGAGTTAAGGAAGGAATTGGAGTGAATATAGCAAAAATACATTGAATGAAATTCTCAAAGAATTAATGAAAACAGTTCATTTTTTTAAATCCACATTTCTATCAGTACCATCACCACACACAGGTAGTTTTATTACTTTCTACACCACCTATCCATATGTGCCTTTAAAATTATCTTTGTTCTGATGTCATAAGTAGAACCATGGGGCAGACAACACAGAAGCAAACTTGAAATCTTTGGGAATTCATTCCCAGTAAGTGAGCTGCCTCAAGCTATCTAGAGAAGAAGTTGCTGCAAATAGGATTCTGTTACATGTTGGCTCCTTTACAGGCACACCTTAATGTGTCGAGTTTACTCTGCAGGTTTCAAGCACATTATCTTGGTACTCTGCACTATTTTTTTTTCTCATTTAAGCTAATATGTATGTACCCCTTCCCAAATTGCAGGTATACAAATGGAGGCTCCTCGATCAGAAACACATTTGCCAGCTGGGTATACCCCTCAGTATCCATCAACAACATTCCAAGGTAAAATAGTTATTGAAGAAGAAAAATGACACTGATCAATTGATGTACCCAAGAGAGAGAAAGAAAGATGAAGTGACCATGTCCTCATTTTTATTAATTTTTTCTTAAAATTGCATCAAAGAAACATTAGTGGCCTAGGTTTGGTTTTGTTTCAGACTAAGCATTTTTTCCAATGAATTAATTTTTATTTATAAAGGAGCATAAATAATATGACAAACTAATAGAATCAACGAGTCTATATTTACTCATGAAATAGAAGATTGAAAAGTAAATAAAATCTTGATAGATAGTAAGTAAAATCTTTTATTGTCTGTAACCCTGTGCTAAAAATTGCTTCATGTGATGGTATTTCAAAGATCTAAATGTGGTTGATTTTGTGCCATAAAGTTTTTGGGATTAATTGTACCCCATGAAAAATAATAAAATCTTAAATCTGGAAACTGCCTACTACAGAAGTGTCACTAGCTCATAGTAACCCTCATTTTCATTGTGTAAGGCATATGAAAACTGTACTCCTCTGTAGGTGCTGCCTGATCTTTTCTGGTTAAAAATAAAAGGAAGTTAGTCACATATTACACATACTAGGATGTTCATTTATCATTTCAAACACTTAACTGTCTCAGAAATCTAGGCAAATGCTATTGTCAGCATCACAAGACGTTTGTAAATGCCAATGTTGATGGTGTACCAGATTTACCAGTGGCAGGCTATGCAGCTCCTCGGTGAGCTCCCTGGGGATTAATATCAAAGATGTTCTGGTTGTGAAGAAGGGGTACGTGCATTTTGTTTTCTGAGTAAACAGATTGGCTTGGGAGTTGAATAGCCTGTGTAATTGTCTTAGAAAACTCCCTGTGGGGCTGGGCTCTTTATCCAGATGTTTGTAATTAAAGGAATATGAGCTGGCTTAGCTCCAGAGCGCTAAGGCAGCCATTCTCATCCGTAGCTGTCATTAATTTTCATTTAAAAATACTAATACAATCTTCCTAGGGAAATTAAATCACACCTTTAAACAATGACTGGCAATCTCCAAATAGCAAGGTGATTCTGTTGTAAGGCCTGGGTTGAAACTGTCTGTTCTGAGTTCTTATAGATGAAGTGGTTAGAAAATTCCCAGTATGTCCATCATTTAACCAGGCACACATAGAACAGTTTAATTAACCTTATAGCTAATTTAAGCTAGGCATACATGTTAAATTCAGTTAGTATCTGCCTTAGAATTTATTAGAAAGAGTAACTCGGTATGGTTTTTAAATTCCAAGACCTCATATAGGATATGTCTTCAGATAACAATGGGGTGAAAATGATGACGACTTAAAATTTAAAGATTCCTGGGTTAAAGGCATTACTCTAAACAAGGAATTTCCACAGTTAGGCTGGTGAATCTAAGGATTCTCTTAGGATCTAAGAAACAGTGTTTTGTGCTCATGTCTGCAGATTCAACCAAATGCAATCAAAATTATTCAACCAAAATATAATCAACCAAATATAAACAAAACAGTATTTGTATTGATCTTGTATATACAAATCACTTGTCATTATTCCCTATGCCATGAGAGGTGGTAGTTTTTGTGACATTTTATAAAATTAGTGTTTTAGGCAATGGAGTAGTGATTTTGTGTCTATGAGAGATATGCACAGGCTATACAGAAATGCTCTACATTGGATTTCCATCCAAATGGGTTCTCTAGAACCTTTATCCTGTAGGCATTTAGGGATAGCCACACTATTATTGTCTTCCTTGCACACTGGAAAATTAGGTACATGGAGTTTGGATGAGGCTTCCAGTTCTGCATTTGATACTCATAGCTACCTGGTAGTGTTCTGGACCTTTCTCTCCTTAGACTCCTCCATATCTGCCAGTGTATGCCTGAGTAACACTCAAAACTCAGAAAGGAACCAGGTGAACTACTTCCTGTGGTCTTACTCAGTCATTCCTTAATGTCACCTAGATAAAAATGTCCCTCTCTTTAACAGTAAGGCCAAATCCATGCACAGTCATGGTTTAGACATTATCCTTCCATATGGAACATTTCTCACCAGATTATCTCATAAAGTGTTTCCATTCTTCTGTCTTATGTGCCAGCATAAATAAAATCTATGTAAAATAACTACCTCATATTTTGCCATCTCTCTTTAAGCTTTTTCTATCAAATAATATGAAATATTTTCTGCATGTAAGTGTATCAGAAGTTATCTGGAAATCTCTCAGGTCTATAGCAGTACCTACCATTTATTTATCCTCTATAAAGCTTACTTGATACATAAATTGCAAGTGTGAAAGCTATGCCAAAAGCATTATTATGTCATTATTGAACGCTTATATATCTTACTTTTAAAACTGTATTCATTTTAGTTATTTGAACTCAATAAGCCTTAGCCATTGGGGAGATGAAAATTAACATTTCATCAAAATTCCATGTCACCGAATTCTAAATGGTTCACTTGAAGAAAACAGCAATAAATGATGAGTTGGGGGATGGGGACTTAACGTACTGCTGGTATATTAGCACAGTCAGTAAAAAAATTATTATTGGAGGTCCTTCTGAAAATTAAAAATGGAATCATCACATGATCCCCTCCTAAAGGAATCTAAGTCAGCATACTACAAATATTTATCCATGGTGATTACTATACTATTTGTAATGACCAAAATATGGAATCAGCTTAGATGCTTTTCAGTAGATGAATCAAAACAAACATGCACACACACTCATATACACACACACACACACACACATACATTCTCTCTGTATCTGTCTGTCTGTCTCTTCTCTCTCTCTCTCTCTCTCTCTCTCATACACATACACACATAAACATGTTTTATTCAGTTAGAAAGAAGAATGAAATTCTTTCATTTGTAGAGGATGGTGAAACTAGACAGTACCATGTTTAAAAGTACAAGCCAGGCTGAGTGTGAGGGGCACATCTTTAATCCTTGTACTGTGGCAGGCGGAGAATGATGGGTCTCTGTGAATCTGGTCCCAGCTTTCCTATATAGCAAGCTCAAGACTAGTCGGCCAGAGCAGTATAGTCAGACATCTAAAAAAAGAAACAAATATCAACAAACAAACAAAAAGAGAGAGCCCTAGATCCTTGTAGTAATAATAATAATAATAATAGTGTATGTGTGTATGTGTCCTAGCTGTTCTGGGGACTAGTCAAAACCAGTGGGAAGATACAGGGTGGTACACAAGAGGATCACAGCAAATAAACTGGGAGGAAAGGACTTGATATACAGGTATGTGTCACAATGCAACTTGTCACTTTGCCTGCTAATCTAAATTTTTAAATTGTTATGAGCTTTGCCTGTTGGTCTAAATCATACACACACACACACACACCACACACACACACACAGACACACACACAGTGTGTGTTTATGTGTATGTGGTAGATAGGTAGGTACAAAACTAGAAGTCATAAAAAGAGAGCATATTGCAGTTAATTTCAGAGGTGAGATAAATTTTTATTCTAAAAGCCAATAATCAGATAGAAAATCACTGTGATCCAGGTTCACTCCTTAGTGACAGAGCACTAAGACGTAAGGCAACAAAAAAAAAAAAAAAAAAAAAAAGAGGGCTCTGAGCCTGCTTCTCAAGATAAAGAAGTCTAGAGAAGAATATAATCCTAGAATGCTACCAAATAGTGTCTCCTACACATGCAGACCTAAGAATGGCTTTCGACCCTCTCTTCTTGAACGTATTTGGGAAGACTTAGACAAGTACCTATTACTAAAACTGGGGAGCCTGATAGTCTTCTCAGCTGGTGAGTAGAACACAGAGTCGCTATTAAACCTTAAGGGTTCAGAGCATGTCCCTTAAAATAGATGTCATTTATCCCCAAGCTTTAGCTTGCTACTTTTATGAAACCTTGGAATACAGGTGACAACATTCTGGTTCATTCTAGTACATTACAGTTATTTGCCCAGATTGACAGAATGCCTAGAGTTTTTTGTTTTGTTTTGCTTTTTTGTTTTGTTTTATTAATTCCTGTTTTGTTTATACATATTCATTTTAATAGGAAGAGACTAAAACATTCAAAGGACATGATATACATGTGTGAAAATTCATTAATAAAGTCCATCGTTTTGATGAGCATTTTACTACACACTCCACAGAAGGAATTTCTAAGCCTTTGTTAATTTAAAAAAAATTAAATAAAGGCTGGAGCGATGGCTCAGCAGTTAAAATCACTGGCTGCTCTTCCAGAGAACCCAGGATCTATTTCCAGCACCCACATGGCAGCTCAGAACTGTCTGTTCAGTTCCGGGCGATCTGACACTGTCACACAGACATACATGCAGTCAAAACACCAATGCACATGAAATAAAAATAAATAAATCTTTAAAAATATAAACAATTCCATTGGATGCTAGATATTTAAATTTTATAATTTAGCAGCATATGTTCTTTGGAAAAGACATTTTTGTTTAAAAAATGTGAAGTAAAATCTGTAAGAGGAAAAAGTTATAGCTGAGAGGCAGAATAGTGGAAGAAATTAAATAAGTTTATGCCTTATAGTGAGCGTGTGTGACAAAGAAGCTTCACATGACTGCTTCCTGCAGTGATCAACAGGAATAGAACACGTTACAATGTATCACTCAAACTCAGTATTTGCAACAGGCATCTTAGAAATACTGTAGTGTAGCAATAGTGGCAGAATTCAGGTATATGTTAAGGAACATTTTATACATCTATGTGTGTACATACATGCACATATGTTTCTTAAATTTAGATTCTCAAAAGAGAGAGAATAAAGATATTTACCTTTGTGCATCAGGCTTATGGCTCGTGTGGTGGTGTCTAGTTTCATTCTACAGATGATTTTGTGCTTCTGTGTGGCTGAATAAAACTCCATTGTGTATATCTATAATTCATATATATGTCTATATCCATATCCATAATGATTATAAGTGTATCTAAATTTATACACACACACACACACACACACACACACATATATATGGTGTCTATATATATGCATGTGCAAAATTTTCTTCATTCATCTGTTGATTGCTAGAAATCTAGGCTGATTCCACATCTTGGCTATTTTGAAAATTATAACAATCAACACAGGTGTTATTCTTTATCCCTTATAATTAGAAGCAGGTATAAAATACCAGCACTGCATTGAAAGTCATAAACCTCATAGACACAGAACTTCTGGGTGGAGAGGTCACTTGGTAGGTGTCCGGAATAACCCCACATGAACTGCTGATACCTTTTCTCTATGAAGTAGAAAATCACTTTTCTTGCTCCTATTTCAGGACCTCCAGAACATACTGGACGCCACATACTCCAGACTAACTACCAAGTGCCCCAGTCTGGTTATCCAGGGCCTCAGCCTGGCTACACAGTCTCAACATCTAGACATGAGGACTATGGTGCAACAAGGCTTCCTATTCAAAATAACCAGACCACAGTCCTTGTAAACACCCAGTGGATGCCAGCACCTCCACCTCTTCTGAACTGCCCACCTGGGCTAGAATACTTAAATCAAGTAAGCCTATACTCAGAATTCACCAAAAAACAAAACAAAACAAAACAAAAGCAAACAAACAACAACAACAAAACCTGTATTTCTACTTCTAATTTACTTGAACAACAAATGATTCATTCACCAAAGCATGACATCTTCCTCTGTGCCTTCTGGGTACATATAATTCCCCTAGAGGAAGTTCACTTTTTAAGCAGAATATCAATGTGTGAGATAATTGTGTTTTCTGTTCCTGTGAATTTTGCCTGTGATAACCGCCAATGGGAGAATTAAACGTATTCTAGTCATCCTCCCTAGTTCAATCCTTATGGAAACTCTGTGGTGTGTGGGCAAGATAATAATTATTATTCTTATTTCTGAAGTGGTAGCTATGGTCAAAAAAAAAAAAACTGCTTTGTTCAGGCTCAAAAATCAAGGAAATGTCATCGTGATTTACTTTTCAAATGTAGTTTCATTACTGAACACAAACACTTTTTACCCCAAATCCTGGTGTAAATTAATGTTAGCGTCATGAAGTTTAATAAGAACTCATAATGACTCGGGGTGAAGTACATAAATCAGTCAAGTAAATAGGGCTGTGGGGTGTCCCCAGTCCAGAAACACACCCAGATGACCCTGTTCTAGCCAGGCTGACTCCAGTCTGTCTGGCACACAGCAATAGTATGTCCCATGTGTACTGAAACAGCAGATTCAGAAATTTCAGTCATCTTGAATGCTCATTCTTAAAGGAGGACATCTTTCTTTTCTTTTCCTTCTTTCTTTCTTCCTTCCTTCCTTCCTTTCTTTTTTTAAATTTTAAACAGTATTTTTATTGGATATTTTATTTACGTTTCAGATGTAATCCCCTCTCCCCATTTCCCCACCCACCCAGGAACCCCCTATCACATCGCCCCTCCTCCTGCTTCTATGAGGATATGCCCCCACCTACCCTCCCTCCTCCACACCCACATCTTTCTTGACTGACACGCACAGGCACCAACCAAGGCTCAGGGTCAGTTTCACAGAAGGAGGAGGAAAGAAGGGAAAGTAAGAGAATAAGGAGGTGAGCTGTGGAATCCAGTCTCCTGGGTGTGGTATAACTGGGAACTCACAAATGCACAGGAGCTCTGATTGCCTGCAAATGCCTGAAGATGGAGACGCCTGGCAAAATTCCTCCACTGAAGCAGAAGTGGATCCTGAGATCTCATCCCTAACTTTGGATACCTGCTGAGGGAAGGAGACTATTTCTTCTTTGAGAATACGGTCACTGGTAGACTCCCCATGCTCCAGTGGATACCCGACCTCTATGTACACATGGACCGTACTGATTGGGCTTAGTGGGATACTTAAACAGAAGAAAAAAGAGAAGACTTTGATCTTTAAAAAATACCCTGGGATATGCATAATTTAATTTGAGTAAATAAAATACTAAGGGAAATTATCATTTACAATAAGTGATAGCATCCTATAAAAATTATGTAAATGTATGCATCCATTATCAATCAATCTTGTCTTCTGAAAAGACTATTTTTTGTAATTTTATGGGAACTCCATTATAAATCAACTTTATATGACCTGAAAGTTCTCATTTTGAAATGAACTATCTAAACACACTGATGCTGGGTCTGGAGAAATGGCTCAGGAATTAAGAGCAGCTCCTAGTCTTGCAGAGGACCCACGTTTGGTTGCACACACACACATGGCTACTTCCAACCATCTTTATCTCCAGTTCTGGTGAACCTGGATCCTACTTCCTGCCTCTCCAAGTACCACATGCAAGTGGCACACTTACATTCATGTAGGCAAAAGATAAATACACATAAAATAAATGTATTTTAAAATAAATATTTGCCATTAAAATATAAAAATGTAATGCTACACAAAAAGTAATATAAATTGTGAAATATTGATAACATTAAGGATTGATAACCAATTCCATGTACCTTCTCTTTTTTCTTTAACAGATAGATCAGATTCTGATTCATCAGCAAGTTGAACTTCTAGAAGGTACGAATCCATTGTGATTATTTGTGGAGATAGAAGTAGTACAAACAGCTGCCTCTTCTACAGTGGTCTTTGGTGGAAGGTTCAGCTGGGAGGTCACAGATATCTTTCTTCACACGAAAAGAAATTATAGATGTTAACTCCTGTCCACTTCTGAGAAGTAGGAGTCAAAACTTCCTGTGCTGAACATGTGTACCCATGAGATATTACTGTGTTGGAAAGGAAACAGCCAACTCTTGCTCTTTCTTACTCTATGTGCACTAAACTAATCTAGCCTTTCCCTTGACTTCTTTTTTTTTTCAGACATACAATAAGAATTTATTGGGGGCTATGTTGATATGCAATATGATTTCTTTTTTTCTTTAGACTTTCTTTTTTCTGTTTGTATTTAAATGTTATTTTTTATTGGATGTTTTATTTACATTTCATATGTTGTCCCCTTACCCCATCCCCCACCCACCCAGGAACCCCCAATCCCCTCACCCCTCCTCCTTCTTCTCTGTGGATGTAACCTCTATCTACCTCCCCACTCCCACCTCCCCACCCTCAAAATTCCCACCCCCTGGGTCGTCCAGCCTTCATGAGGTCAAGGTTCTCTTCTTCCACCTATGCCCAGCAGGGCCCTCCACTCTTACATATTCAGCTAAAGCCCTGGATCCCTCCCTAAGTGCTCCCAGGCTGGTGGTTTAGACCCTCGGAGCTGTGGTTGGTTGATATTGTTGCTCTCCTCATGGTGCTGTAAATCCTTTCAGCTCCTTCAGTCTTCACTCTAACTCCTCCATTGAGAACCCCATGATCAGTTCAATGGCTAGTTGTGAGCATCTGCCTCTGAATATGTCAGACTCTTGAAGGCCTCTGAGGAGACATCCATATCAGGCTCTTATCAGCATGCACTTCCTGACTTCCACACCAGCATCTACCTTTGGTGATTGCACATGGGATAGATACACAAGTGGAGTGGTCTTGAGACGGCCCCTCCTTCAGTTTCTGTCCCTCACTTTGTCTCCATATTTGCTCCCTTGAGTATTTTGTTGCTCCTTCTAAGAAGGACCGAATCACCCCCACCCACTTGGTCTTCCTTCTTTATGAGCTTCATGTGGCCTGTGAGTTGCATCTTGGGCATTTCAAGGTTCTGGGCTAATATCCAATAATCAGTGAGTGAATACCATGTGTGTTCTTTTGTGATTGGCTTACCTCACTCAGGATGATAATTTCTAGTTCCATCCATTTACCTAGGAACCTCTCAAATTCATTGTTTTTAATAGCTGAGTAATACTCCATTGTGTAAATATACCACATTTTTTGAATCCATTCCTCAGTTGAAGGACATCTGGGTTCTTTCCAGCTCCTGGCTATTATAAATAAGGCTGCTATGAACATAGTTGAGCATATGTCCTTGTTATATGTTCGAGCATCTTCTGGGTATATGCCTAGGAGTGGTATAGCTGGATCCTCAGGTAATGCTATGTCCAATTTTCTGAAGAACCGCCACACTGATTTCCAAAGTGGTTGCACCATCTTGCAGTCCCACCAACAATGGAGGAGTGTTCCTCTTTCTCCACACCCCCGCCAGCATCTACTATCACCTGAGTTTTTAATCTTAGTCATTCTGACTGGTATGAGATGGAATCTCAGGGTTGTTTTGATTTGCATTTCCCTGACGACTAAGAATGCTGAACATTTCTTTAGGTGCCTCTCGGCCATTCGAGTTTCTTCCGTTGAAAATTCTTTGTTAAGCTCTATACCCCATTTTTTAATAGGGTAATTTGGTTGTCTTGACTTCTACCCCTCAGCAACTCTCTGTCAGTGTGTTACCAGCTTGAGACTTGCCAGAACCTCGAGCAGTGGCTCAGTTCCTATAGTGAATGTGTGTGTGTGTGCGTGCACATGTGTGTGTGTATATGTGTGTGTATTTGTGTGTATATATGTATTTTTATATGTATATATGTGTGTGTACGTGTGCGCATATATATATAGTATATATGTATATATAGTGCACATATATATAAATGCATATATAGTCCTCAAACTATTGATTGTGTATGTGTGTATACACATAGACCACACACACACGCACACACACAACACACACACAAACTCACATATATATAATATATATATTCTTCAAACTATTGATTAAAACTTTCACAGACTGTAAATAGAACAATCATTCTGTAAGCACCAAAGGAATATTCTGCTAAATGAGTCGGCTGGACATTTATCCTCATACTGAATCTTTTTTTTTCTCTCAGCACTGGATGACCATAGACATGAAAGCTCCCTTGTGACAGAGTCCATGAAATTGAAGATACAGCTTGCTCTCTTTTGAGGTCTCCCATATGGACTTCATTCCTTCTTATCTGAATATTCTTCCTCCTTTCCCACTGCCATTTCCTGAGTCCAGATCATCTCTGCACTGCCTGGCTCACCTTTCTACTGGTCCTTGTATTCTCAGGCACTCCATCCCCCTGCTACCTGAAGAGAGGATCACTGTTCCTCACAAAGCAGTGAGTGTGATTTTTCCTGTATGTTTTCAGTCTTAACAGGCTTTGAAACAAATAACAAATTTGAAATCAAGAACAGCCTCGGGCAGATGGTTTATGTTGCAGTGGAAGATACTGGCTGTTGTACTCGAAATTGCTGTGAAGCATCTAGACCTTTCACCTTGAGGATTCTGGATCATCTGGGCCGAGAAGTCATGACTCTGGAGAGACCCCTGAGATGCAGTAGCTGCTGCTTCCCCTGCTGCCTCCAGGAGGTCAGTGTGAAGTTCCCATAGCAGCTTGAGAAGAAGTTTAACAAGAGTTTTCAAGTGTGGATTAAACCTGGACAGTATGGCTATGGTTGCATTAAATATGTACTCTTTGCTTTTGTAGATAGAAATCCAGGCTCCTCCTGGGGTGCCGATAGGTTATGTGACTCAGACCTGGCACCCATGTCTGCCAAAGCTCATTCTTCAAAATGACAAGAAGGAGAATGTTCTAAAAGTTGTTGGTCCGTGTGTTGCATGCACCTGCTGTACAGATATTGACTTTGAGGTAAGAAATATAATGTTCACAAGATGTGTTTTTCTGACATGAAAAAATATATTCCTATAGGATATTACAAATGCATTACCTAAAAAGTGTGACTTGATGTGTACCCATCTCATGAATAATCATTTAATTATTCAGAACACAGGTCATTACTATGATTAAAGGTTGGTGTAGAGTATCCTCAGTGACATGCAAAAAGAGGTCAATTCAAATAAATAAATGTATTAGAAGGAAAAGAAAAGAATGTCCAGCATTTAAAATTGTTATAGGTTTTGCTTGTGATTTGGCTGAATGGCTATACCCTTTGTTGTGCAAATATAAGAACCTGAATTTGGATCCTCGAATCCCTAGGAAAACCCTACATGTATAAGTTTGTACCTCTAATCCCAATTTGAGGTCATTGGGGAATGAGGCTACCTAGTGCTTGTTGGCTAAGCAGTCTTGTTCAATAGGAAATAGGCTCAGGCAGGAGGGACCTCATCTCAAATAATAAGATAGAAAGTGTTAGAAGATAGCTAACTTTGTCCTTTGGCCTCCATATCCACTTAAGTACACAGGCACACACACACATACACACACACGCACACACACACACACACACACACACACAGGGGGAGGAGAGAAAGCTCTGTTAACACAGTATTAATCAATTAATCATTTTATACGTAAGAGTAACCAAGACTCTTAGACCCTTATTTCTAGGTCCTTATTCTTTGTGCTCTTAACCTGCATTATAAACCTCATAAGCTCTTGGGTAAGCACACACATTATTATTTGGAATTCGTATCAAAACCCCACTGGAGTAATGATAGTTTCAGTATGGTTAGTATAGAAGACACATCTTCTGTCTTCTCTGGTGTTCCATTTTCCAAATTTTTCATTACCTAGAGTGAACTGTGGCTTTACTATCTAGAATAGAAGATCCCTGAAATAAACAGAGCTTAAGTTATAAATTACACCTTAGTCCCAGGAGCGTGAGAATTAACTTCAGGATGTCCTGTTCCACCTGCCTGGGTGTGAGTCATGTTCCCGAATACCCTCCACAATGTCCATCACAGAAGCTCATTATTAGGGGTCAGTCACGGAAGCATGACCTTGTGTTGTCTCACTGCAGTGATCAAGAAGCCTTTATATCATTGCCTAAAGGTATCACATGACCGGTGCAGCCTTTATCTCAGTTCATCTCACTACCTAGCACTGGCCAACTCATTCCAACAAGGGAGGATAGATAGAGACTAAGCTCTTTTGAGAAAGACACTCATTCTTGTAACTTTCACCATAATGAATTATCATATTTTTCTGTTTTACTAATAAGTTTTTTCTAAACTGTTCAGTTCTTCAGATTTATAAAATGAACTCTGTAACAGAAACATGTTAGTAGGGCTTGATTTCACATACATAGATCTCAGTAAAGTCTGCATCTGTAGGTCTCTATCAGGATCTTGGCCTATGTGCCCCTTGAATAAGAAAAGTGTATCTGTATATACATTCAGAGTTCTGCTTCTCTGAGCTCTGATAAACCCTTGTAGTAATTTAGGCATTGGAATTTGAATATGCTTGTTATTATAACATTTCTACAAGAAATGGACTATCCAGCCTCATTGCTCTATTTTTACTGGCAAGTATTTAAAGATGGGGAATGTTTTCAATTAATAATTCATGTCTTATGTTTCTTGGAAAATCATAATAATGAGAAACTCAACTCAATTTCCACACAGAGGAAATAGTCCCTAAGGATGAATAAAGGTAGCCCTCTGTGGGAACCTCATCCCCAGGGCTCGCCAAGGTTTCTGATTTCCAGTTTTACTTTGTTTTTTTTACAGCTTCCTCCTTCTCCTCCTTTCATACTGACTTGCTTCCTTTGTGAGAATCTGGGTGTGTGAAGATAGTTTTTTCGCTTCTTACAGAATCAATGGTCTTAAGGGCAGAGCTGAGAGTTTTAAGAAAATACAAGTGACAGAGAAATATATATATATATATATATGATACGTACAGATAATATATATATATATATGATACGTACAGATAAAAATAGGTATGAAGATTTGTAGTGATAATTCTTCATACAGAAAATTATGAGGATCAGAAGGTAGTTGTAGTTAGTTTCACGATATGATAGATTTTTTCTTTTAAATCAAGAACAACATTAAGGGAAGTTTTGTTGGCCTGTGCTGAATTTAATAAAAAAAAAACTGGAGGTTTATGATATTCTTAGTGAGATTAAGTTTAATTGTGTCATCTGTCTGCATTGCCTTCAAATCCCCAATGTCTTAAATAGGATACAACCTTTATTGTATGTTTAGAATGATTACATCTAGATCTTGTCTTCAACAGACCTTAGAAACCCGTACTTGTTCCTTTTCCTATACAAGCTGTGATTGTAATGTTCATGTCTTAAAAATGGGAGATAGTAGTGTGAGCCACCAGCAATAACAGGGCAACTCTGAGTTACACCGGGCCATTCATTTGGAGATGAGCTTTCCTTGTTCAGATGTCCTGTTTCAGACTCTGCCTGGGGTCTGAATGGGAGGCTTAACAGCCAAAGGTGCTTGCTACCAAGCCTGAGGATCGGAGTTATAGCCACAGGACGAACATTGCGGAAGAAGAAAAATGACATCCCCAAGTTGTTCTCAGACTTCTGCATCTACACCAAGGTGTGCAAGTTTACACACACACATACACACACACACACACACACACACACACCTGCATGCACACACATTTAAAAAAACATTCTCAAATGTAGGCAAAAAATTCTTATGTTTTGGTTACATGGGAGAGTAGTTTATAATTCACATTTCTGATCCTTACCAATAAAATTACATGTATATTGGAAATAAAATTCAGTTAACTTTAAGTTTTTTCTTTGTAGAAAAATGGTAAATATATATGCTTGTGTTTGTCAGTGGAATACTGGATTTATGATGCTGGCAAATTGCCACTTTTCTTCCATCATATAACTTATACTTCAAAAGTATATATGATGATTTATGACTAATCATAAATGTCTAAATGACAGCTATTGCACATGAAATACAAAGTGATAGAGCAGCTTATCACAATGTCATATCTTATACAACTATAATGGTTCATGACTTCAAACAGGCAGCACTGTGTTCACATTATGGGTATTGGTGAAGCTCATGTAGTTGGTTCTAACTTAGACCATGCAGTGACCTCTCATCTGCTCAAGAAAAAGTGTGTCTTAGGACTGTGGCCACAGCTTCTTGTGTGATACTGCTCACTGGATGTACATGCAGACCAAGCCAGTTGGCCATGGTGAACATTCAAATCTTCTGTCACACCCTATCATCAAATTAGACACCCAACAAAACCCAATTCTAAAGGAACAGAAAATGTACTGTGCCTAGCCTGGGTGTGGAATGCAGGGACTATTCTATGAGCAGTAGTATCCTATGACTCTTCGTTCATGTTAGAGGTAGACTTCAACACATTGAGGTGCCATCCTCCTCCAGCCACATCCGCTGTGAATATCTTTAATGTCCCTTGTTTACTTGGTGGATCCTGTCTGGGGCAAGAGCTTTAAAGGAGGCTGTTCCCACCTTTGGTGACCTTCGCAGGTTTGGACAGAACACTTCTTCCTCTTCATTTGGCACAAGCCTATATGTTCATTTCGTTGTGAGCATCCATGTGCCTACTATGGAGTAGATTTAGTTTGGGCTCAGTCCGTTCTATAGTACTTTGGGGACTGGTCTTTCCTCCCACAGAGCCAAATCAGAATCTTTTCATATTAGAAGTACTGACTTCTCATGCTTTTCTTCTTGCTTTCTTTATACACTACTAATTCTCCATACCCAACTCATATCTGCTCTCGCTGTCTCTCATGGAGTGTCTTGTTGGATTCTTCCACCCACTACACGGTCTCTAGGTCTTTCTGGGCTTTTGTATTTCATCCCCTGTACCCCTACTGCCCCACTCCATGAATGACAATGAGCCTCTGCCATGTTTAAACTGTCAGCCTATGTGAAAGTGATGATTTGCAAAGCGGATAACCTAATAGGAGTTCCATCTATTGTCTTCCCAATAGCCTCTAAAAATTTAATAAGAGAAACATCTTGAAGATAATTTTAATAAAATATCCATCTGATTTTACTACAACAGTAAAAGTAGGTTTGCCACTCATATTCTACAAAGCCATATGATTTTATTTTCATATGTAGATCAAGTCTCTTGACGAGGTGTCTAGAATTGGCAAGATCTCCAAGCAGTGGTCTGGTTGTGTAAAAGAGGCCTTCACAGATTCAGATAACTTTGGAATCCAGTTTCCGCTAGACCTGGATGTGAAGATGAAAGCTGTGACACTTGGCGCTTGTTTCCTCATAGTGAGTTTCTTCTGAGCCTTCTCTTTACAAAAGTTTCATAATAAGTTGGCAAATATGCATCCCAACATGACATGATGAAACTAATGGGTTTTATACAAGATTCTACTTTATTATAGCTCTTTAATTGCATTTAGTCTTGAAATTCAGATACCGCTGACTCTTTACTCTGATGAGTCAATACCCTGTTATGAGACAAAACACGGATTTTACTTTTCAGATGTTTTTGGCTTTCGGGTTTTTATTTTTAAAATAAAACATAAAACTAGAGATTTGGGGAAAGTGTTGAATCTGTATTTATGTGGAAAAATGTGGATGAAATGCAGATGTTGTTCAGTCATTACATTTATCATCTAATATATAAACTATAAGTTGCAATAAGATGTATAAGTTGTTATACATCCAATCATACCTCGATTTTTCAACCTCTAGAGTATTTATCGATTCAAGAGAGAAATTAATATGAGCATTTATATGCCCATGTATCTCAGCAGTTCAAGTAAATCAGAAATTCATAATTGGTATGTTCATAGTACCCTAGCAGTTTCTAATATACAGGCAATGTTCTGGAAGATAACAGTTGTCTTCAGTCTTAGCTACACAAGAGAAATACCTGGGACACTACAAACTCTCCCTGACCAGATTGCATCCAGATTACTAAATTAAACTCTTTAAAGTTTTGTACAAGCTTTTAGTCTGTGTATAGTCCCCAGCTAGATCCACTGAAAATTTGAAACATGAGGCATCTTAAACATTGATTCAGTGATACAATAAACATTTTAAGAGCTTGTGTAGCCCTAAAGTGTATGTTCTTTCAACAAACAAATACAAGTAATATAAAGATAAAAGAAAACAGGAGACTTTAAAGGATGCCACATAATGCTGACTGTGGTCATGTTTAGACATCAATTTGAGGAAAACTATATTAAAAGTAATTTATAAGATATTCAAGTAAATAACAACAATGACTTGCAATTTGATCATACGGAGGATTTATTATGGTGTTTAGTAAAAACAGTTATCCATATCTGTGTCCCTTCAGTATGAACTGGATTGATAAAAGATTTTTGCTTTTAAATAATGTAGGTAGGAGAATAACTGGTAGACATAGGTTACTCATATTAGTCATTTTTGAAGCCAACTGACCATGTTCTGAGACTTTTTTCACTACTGATATTTGAGTTATGCTTGATTGATTTTTGTAAAATGGTTAAATAAAACCAATATTTATGGAGAAATGGGAGGGGTGTTGAGTAAGGCTTTTTTTTCACTTGAAAAATAAATTTAGACTTAATTTTGGGGAAACATTTTGATTCAGAGTTAGGGTATGTGAAAGATCCCACGTTTAGAAAAAGAGCACAATCCATAGAGTTTGGACGTTAAGTGCCCTTAGCTTCTATACCTGGAAATAGGTCATTCTTTGTCTTTGAAAATATATTTTGGTTTTTCTTTTTCTTTAGGATTACATGTTTTTTGAAGGCTGTGAGTAGGAACAAAAATCAGACCTGTGGTGGGGACCAATGAAAGACTACAGAGATCTGAAGTCTACACGATGAGCCTATACAATTGGGAAACCTGGAGCTTTTTTGTTACTTCATTAAAATTTCTGAGAATCAAGCTGTTATACATGAAGAATATTATGTGCAATTTTGCTTTTCAAATGGTAGTTTATCATTTACATAATTGGAATAGATGTGGGTAATTATCTTTATACTCTTATAAAAATATTCACCAAATTCAAGATATAAAAATAAGAAAAGTGTATTTTTAAAAATGAAACATTTTATGGAAAAGTAAGTTGAATTATAATCTCTGACTTATTTTCCATCTTCTGTTCGATTTAAATCTTGTTAGTGCTGACTTTATTATAAAATTATACTTGACTCTATCAAATCTAGTTAGCTTATTTCTTACAGAACACCTGCTGTTATATTGAAATTATATGTTTAAAAGCTTTTTTTTTTTAAAGATAATATTGCCTGGGAAATTCTATTCAATAAAATGCCAATAAGAGAAGATAGTATATATTTTCTTCTGTCTTTAGGAAATAACATTAAATGTTCTTATTAAAGTTTCTACTGTTATAAACTTTTATACTGAAAAGTTCATGATTTACCAATTTTAAATGTTCTTCAGTGAATGATGACATGTTTTACTGCCAAGGAACAGTAACTTTTAGGAATCTCTATCTTTATTATTGATATAATGTTTGACATTATTTACTTTCAATTATTAACCAAGATCCTATTATGGATATGGCCAGGGGATAATTTGATCTTAGCTGTTCTCCCAACTGAGTCCCCAGGTGACTCTAGGTTTCTGTCAAGTTTGCAATAAAATCTATTTATGACATCAGGGTGTTTTTATTTCCACAACTGCAGAAAAAGAAAAAAACTACAAAATTTATGCCAAGATTTAGGACTGTTAGCATAATAACTTTGTTATGGTTATCCACAATCCAGTATTTGGAACTGGATTGTGGAGAAAATTTGAAAAACTTAGGAACTTTGGGTATGAAAACTCTAAAATGCTGTTATTGGCTCTTAACTGGTGGGAGTTTGAAAATTGTACTATTGAAATATGAATACGTAGAAAAGGAGAGAGCCTGAACTGAGACTGTAGCTCAGGGATGGGGGCCTCTACTTCTCTAAAACCACTGCCTAAAAGAATTGTTTCTCTAATGCCAACACACAGAAGCTGTTTGAGTTGTGGGCTCTGGGGAAGGGGCGGGCAGGTTACATGTCCAACTTGTGGCAGAACTTGGCAGCGTCATCCATGTGCTAATAATTTTGAAGGCATGGAAGATAAAAAAAAATTGAGAACATAATGGAAAACAGCTCAGGCTAACCAATGTGGAACAGGGCCAGAGTATCTAGAAGGTGGGCTCAATGGGCTATTTCATGAAGCTGAAAATGTCAAGCTTAAGTTACGAGTAGAAAACTCAAGATAGTAAGGTTCCAGGAAAACAGGATGTGTACAGAGCTGCAGGCATAGAATGAACCCATTCCACACAGCAGAGGCAGACAGAGCTAGACAAAGGGGTTGTAAGCCATCCAACCTCTTTGGAGTCCAGTTTACTATACCATCAGCTCCAGGTGCCAGACATAAAAATTTGGGAGTAGGTAATTTCTTCTGCTTGATTTTGGTTTTGTTTGATATGACTGCTCCTAGCTAAGACCTGGTTCTTTCAATCTGGAACAGAAATGTATACTCTGACATTGTATGCTGAAAATTTGTAACTTTGCTTTTGATTTTATAGGAGCTTGAAATTAAGAGGATCTAGATTTTTGAAGTATTGAAACTATTAATGACTATGTGGACTTTCAATGTAAGAGTGAATGCATAAGGTATTATAACATGATTATAAATTCATAGAGGAAAGAGGCTGTAGGATATGGGTTAGATGTTATTTGGTTGAATGCTAAGTTTACAAGGGGTAGAGTTTCTATGGTTACTGTTAATTGTTAGTGTCACAGAATTTAGAATCACCTGTGAGTTAGGCCTTTAAGCATGCCCATAGGGCATTTCCTTGACTATACTAACTGATGTCTAAAGAATCTTGACCAAGGGCAGGACCATGCCTTATGACTTCTGCTTGGATGCTCAACTATGTAAAATGGGGAAAGTGAGGTGAGCATTAGGGCACATTCATCGCTCTGCTTCTTGTCACATATTCATTTTCAGCCTGCTTTCCATATTTATATGATTTTAAATGGCCTCATTTATGCCAAAATGTAGTTTAGAAATTTATCCAAGTTGAAAGCCAAAAATCTGGAAAACTAATGCTTAATTCTGTTTCTCTGTGAATGAAAATGTGATTTTACCTGTGAATTCTGAGTTTATACTGAATCCTTAAGAGACTGAAGTTTTTTATCTGGCATGGCAAGAGAACACAGAGGGGAATATTTGTGAGTCACTATTTTATTTTGTTCTGGTGCATGTACATGTTTGAGAATTAGTTCTAGGAAACATTTCAATGTTAGTTACACATTGCCAGTAAAACAAGTCATGCAGGAATAATGCAGAGAAATTTCTTCTGACCTGAACTTTATAAGTAAGTTGGATCTCAGTTGATTTCATATCCCTACTCATATAAGAGAATGTACTAGAGTATGTAATTTATGAATTATAGTTATTTATTTCTCACAATTTTGAAGACTGAAGTCCACTGTGAAGGTCACAGCTGAATCGATGTCCTGAGAATTCCATCTCTGTGATCCTATTGTTACCTTATTGCTTTATCATTCAAGGATGTTCGAACTGCACAGTAGGTCAAAGGTGGCCTGATTAGTCTCTGTAATAATTTTATAGAGACATCTAATCCCTTTAACAGGAGTGGTGACCTCATCATTTAATCATGCCCTAAATAGTCCTCTTCTTCATGCTTTAGACTTCAACATACTAATTTATTCTGGATGTATGTAATCTAAAACAGGTTACCACTACATCCAAACATTCATAGACAAAGTATATACATTGGATCTTTACAATTAGGAAATTATTAGATCAAGTCTGTTTGCATCTGTCACCTAAGTGTCATCTGCAGCAGATGAGAATAATACTTTAGATGTAATTCTTCCAGGGGCAAATTCCCATATGTGAACCCAAGAGGTCAAACGAGTTCTATACTTCCAAAGAAAGAAAAGAAACTGGGAAGGGGGATAACATTTGAGATATAAATAAATAAAATAACCAATAAAAAATTAAAATTAAAAAAAGAAAAATAAGAGCTAAAATAAGTTCTTAGTAAGTCCAATTATTGAATTTTAAGACTTGATAATAAGCTTTTTATCTGTTCTGCCTTCTGCATAACATTGAAGGGACTGGGTCTTCAAGGCTCTAGGAAAGCATGCCCAATGGATTTACTGGAAACATCTCAGGCTGAAGTTTTAGTATGATTTTCAATTACATCTTTTTTTTTTTTTTTTTTGGTTTTTCAAGACAGGGTTTCTCTGTGTAGCCCTGGCTGTCCTGGAACTCACTCTGTAGACCAGGCTGGCCTTGAACTCAGAAATACACCTGCCTCGGCCTCCCAAGTGCTGGGATTAAAGGTATGCGCCACCACCATCGGGCCTTTCAATTACATCTTATACTTGTTGTCCCTTCCAGTTGGAGCTGCAAGCTGTATACTTCTGGGGTTCTGGGAGCATATTAACTCTTGAACCTTGTTTCTACATTATAGCTTCAAGGGACAGTATTCCAGCGAAAGCCTGTTACAAGGGCCTCTCTACTCCAGGCTTCACAGGGCTTTGCCCTAGTCTGCCTATGCTTCATTTAGAGTCCAGATGAAGGTAGCCATAACTCCAGAGTTGTGCAGTGGACACAACAGCAGAATCAGCACCACATGAACATCCCTCATTGTGAGACTGTGTAAGTTGGCAGAGCAGGCCCCTCCCCTACTGCTTCTAAGTCCGCCATTAATGCCTTTTCCCTCAAGAACGACAGTGTTCATGATTCTCAACCCAAAATTTTCTTGCTTTTGTTTAAACATTTCTTTTTCTCCCTAACAGAAACACCTACAACAACAGTATTCATGCTTTTCAACCCAAATTTTCTTCGCCTTTTAGTTTAAATGTCTCCTTTTCTCTCTAATACTCATGATATATTCCCAACATTTTTTTTTCAAATTTTTAAGACTTCTTCAAGGTTCAAAGGTCATCTAATCTACTTCCACAGGTTAAATCAACTATGCTGATCACCACTTTTCAAACCTTAATTAACAACTAGTTTCCTTTTACAGATAAACTGTTGCTGCCTCTCCCAGGTACATGATTAACATAATGTTTTTCTCCTTCAGCCATCCAAAAACAGACTCAAAGATACCCTCCAAGACTAAAATTTCCTCAAACACCTTTGCCTTTTTAGGATCTGAATGGCACACCATGACGTGCTTGCTCCCAAGTAGCCTAATGCTTACTACACACCCTGTGCAGACATCCCCTTGCCGAGGTGCTGCTTCCCTGTTTTAATTATCCTACAGGTGCTCCCACAAGTCCAGCAGAGACAACGCCACCTCCTGGAACCTGCCTAGGAGGCCAAGCTGCCTTCTTCCAGCCACACCGTCTGACTGAAGACCCAGAGACACACGCTGAACTCCAGACACAAGCCATGATCCAGAGACACATGCTAAATCCTCCAGCTACAGATGAACTCTTTTGCCAACGTAAAAGAGCTAAAGTTACATGTTAGTGAGGAAAACTCAATGTCTATCTAGATTAGTCAGCTATTACTACCCTCAAACTCTACCACTTGTATTCAATTGAGTCAATGATCCCTTGCCTTCCCAACCCCCCCCCCCCCCAACTCCCTTTATCCTGTGACTTAATTGTGCTAACCCCTCTGGCCTACATAGTGCTTTATTTTGGCTTCCTCATCCAAAATTTTCACCACAGATGACACAGTGACCCCCCTTTTTTAAAAAAGTAAAGAGGAGGAGATGTGGGACTGCGTAAGGGTATCCTGGTTCATGGCTGGGCATGAGCCTAGAACCCTGAGACTTTAACTGAGAACTGGCAGGAGTTCGGCCACGACCCCAGAACCCAGGGTCCTGACACACAGTCTAGTCTCCATAGACCTACACTGTTCAGTCACATAGGCCATTACAGCCCCTCCCAAAGTACACAGGTAGAGGGTGTGACCACAGGCCTCAGGACCTAAGGATTTACATATTAATGAAGGCCAGAGGATGGAGCAAATTAAGCATGGTTCCCCAGGACCTCCCCCTTTCTCCCTTCCTATTTAACTCAGGACTGCCCTGAGTTTCACAGGGGTACATTCAGATCCATCCACCATCCGCCAATGACAATAAACCCTTTTGGAACCAAGGACTTTCTAGTGTCATTGGGGCCTGCCGCCGCCAAAGCCCCCAGCCTCCGGAACCTCAGACTTTCCTCCTGCATGTGGGATCAGCCGCGTTGAACCCCTCACCCCCGACCCCGGGACATCCTCCACCTCTGCTGTGGCCTATATTTTCCCACACCTCATAGCTATTTCTATGCCATTAGGAGTGGTATTTCAGGACATGCAGCCCCATTTGAGCCACATGTGGGACATTCAAAGAGCAGTATACCAGGGTGCAGTATCCAAGACCCCCAGTAGCACTGGGTGTGTAGTCCCAAGTTTCCATAGGCTCCTCAGGCCCCTTGGGCCCTTCTTTTGACAATGGCACTTGAGTCTCTGATAGAAGTGGCAGCATTGGAAGTCTGTGAACTGAGACTTCTACTGTCTTGATAAATAACATGTGGCTTTATCAGCACTTATTACACAGTCTCTGTGCCATACCCTCTGTGTTTTTTTCCAGCCACATGTGTTAATATTTTTAGAAGCTTGTAAATTTCCAACCCTTTACATTC